AGTTCCTCTACACAGTTCAGGTTGACATAACCTTTGACTGCTGGTGATTTCAGCCAAGGGGTGAATCAGTGGCATATACTTATACTGTTAGGACAGTCAGTAGCCAGTAAACAGACTTGTCCTCGGTCTGAGAGTGCATGTCCCAGGAAGCTGGTCCCAAAAGTTGTTGACGATCTGGAGTGACAAACAACTCTGCTGACAACCAAGGAATGCTGTCAACTTTCAGAGGAAAACAGACCTGAGTCTGAACCCCTGTACCCAGCTGAGTAGCTTCAGCCCAATTATGTGGACTTTCCCAGTCTGAGTTCTCATCTATAAACAAAGACCTTAGACACTCAACAAGTTAAGTGAGCATCTTTTGTGGGCCAGGCATTGCTCTAGGTAGAAGGAAAATCATAGTAACCACAGCACTGAAACTTACAGGGGGTAGAGATTGACCAAACGTAAACACTTTCATGTTTTCCAGAGTAAGACAAATATCATACAGAGAGGCACATCATGCAGAGAATTAAAATAGAAGGTGGTGATAGACAAAGATTGTCAGTGGCCACTGTACAGGAAACCAAACTCCCCCCACCTCATGAGTCCTGATTTCTCTTCACTGCTCTGTATTTCTCCATAGCCCACATCACTTTGTGAAATACTGTATAATCCATGTTTGGGGATTTATTCTCAGCCTCCCCTAACCAGAATAATAGTTCTGTGAGGGCAAGGATTTTTGTCAGTATATCTTCTGCTGTTTCCCCAGGACCTAAAACAGCACCTGGCATGTACTGGCTACTCGGTAAATACTTGTTAAGTGAACATTGTTAAATAAATTTAAATTTTTTGATAAATATCATTTGGATATTTATGGAAAGACTGGAGAAAGAGAGGGAGAGAAAGGAAGGAAGGGAGGAAGGAAGGAAGAAGGAAGGGAAGGGAAGTGTTCCACTGATTTTGGCCTCAAAAACCAGAAACCACCAGCATAATGGAAGTAATGCAATTTCTCTTTTCCTTCAGATCAAGAGACCAGGAAACTCCTGGCAGTACAAGATGTTGGGTTCAGCCAGTACACAGCATTGTAGAGAAGTTGGTCTTACCGTTTTGGTTTGGGTCGTAGAATGTGTTACCTCAATACTTTCAGTTTTAACCGCTTTCCAGATCCCACTAAACCACTTCTTGTATTCCATTCGCACCTGAGGAATATAGAGGTTTGTGTCACATTAGGAGCTTGCTTAGGGAGAAAGGACCCTGAATAGGAGGTTAAAGATATACATGCCAAGCCCCATGACTACCCTCTCATTGGTTTCCGGTATAGTCTTGGACATCCTCTTCTTGGTTCATTCTAAAAATCAACTTTTGTTGAATGTATTTACTAAATGTCAGGCATCACAAAGTCTCTGTAGAGTCTATAGAGTGGTGGTGGTGATGATGATTCTGACAATGAAGAGGAAGAGGAGGGAGAAGGTGATGGTTATCACGGAAATGATGATGGTGGTGGTGGTGGTGATTATAACAATGAAAGTCAACATTTATTGAACACTAGCAATCTTCAGTACACTTTATTTTATGCAATATATCATTTCATCCTACATAAAGCAAGTGAGGAAGGTTCTTCTGTTACCCCCAGTTAAAGATAAAGAAGCTGAAGCTGTTGGAAGTAAATGGACTTATTCAAGGTCATACAGCCAGCATTCAGCACCTCATCATTCTCACACCAGAGCCCCGACACTAACTGCTTTGCTGAGCCATTCCCTGTGATTGCATGGATTCCTTCCTGAAACCTGTTAACATGTTATAAAAAGATATTTAAATATTTAATATTCAACATTATTTCACAAAGACACTTAAGTTGTACTGTACTTCTGGGTGTGAGGATACCAACAATTAAGAAGGCACTAGGAGATGAAAGAGAAATAAATGAAGTGTTATGCTGCTGTCTTTGTCACCAGCATCTTAATGGTTGGTAGTCCTGCCCAATAGCAAAGTGAGAAAAGCCAGGAAAACTGTTTCCAATCATCTAAAAGGAGTAAAAATACAAGAAGATGACCCTTACAAGAACTTAATGTATGCCAAGGACTGCACTAGGAGATTCATATTGCATTATCTCTCTTTTTTTCTTTTTTAACTTTCTTCCTTTCTTTCTTATTTTAATTTTTTTATTATTATGTTCAATTAGCCAGCATATAGTACATAATTAGTTTTTGATGTAGTATACAATGATTCACTAGTTGTATATAACACTCAGTGCTCATCCCAACACATTCCCTCCTAATACCCATCACCTGGTCACCCCATTCTCCCACCCCCTCCCTCTGTAACTCTCAGTTTGTTTCCTGGGGTCCAGAGTCTCTCATGGTTTGTCTCCCTCTCTGATTTCTTTCCTTTCACTTTTCCCTCCCTTCCCCTGTGGTCCTCCACGATATTCCTTATGTTCCACATATGAGTGAAACCATATGATAATTCTCTTTCTCTGCTTGACTTATTTCGCTTAGCATAATCCCCTCCAGTTCTATCCATCTCAACGTGAATGGTGGGTATTCAACCTTTAGGATGGCTGAGTAATGTTCTTTGTATATATGAACCACATCTTCTTTATCCATTCATCTGTTGAAGGACATCTCCCCTCCTTCCACAGTTTGGCTATTGTGGCCATTGCTACTATGAATATTGGGGTGCATATGCCCTTCTTTTCACTACACCTATATCTTTGGGGTAAATACCTAGTAGTGCAATCACTGAGTCGTAGGGTAGCTCTATTTTTAACTTTTTGAAGAACCTCCATACTGTTCTCCAGAGTGGCTGTACCAGCTTGCCTTCCCACCAACGGTGTAAGAGAGTTCCCCTTTCTCCACATCCTTGCCAACATTTGTTGTTTCCTGTCTTGTTAATTTTAGCCATTCTAACTGGTATAAGGTGGTATCTCACTGTGCTTTTGATTTGTATTTCCCTGATGGCAAGTGATGTGGAGCATTTTTCATGTGTTTGTTGACAATTTGTATTTCTTCTTTGGAGAAGTGTCTGTTCATGTCTTCTGCCCATTTCTTGACTGGATTCTTTGTTTTTTAGGTGTTGAGTTTGAGAAGTTCTTTAAAGATCTTGGATACCAGCCCTTTATCTGTAATGACATTTGCAAATATCTTCTCCCATTCTGTGGGTTGCCTCTTCGTTTTGTTGACTGTTTCCTTTGCTGTACAGAAGCTTTTTATCTTGATGAAGTCCCCAAAGTTCATTTTTGCTTTTGTTTCCCTTGCCTTTGGAGACGTGTCTTGAAAGAAGTCACTGTGTCCAATGTCAAAGAGGTTATTTCCTCTGTTCTCCTCTAGGATTTTGATGGATTCCTGTCTCACATTGAGGTCTTTCATCTATTTTGAGTTTATCTTTGTGTATGGTGTAAGAAAATGGTCTAGTTTCATGCTTCTGCATGTGGCTGTCCAGTTTTCCCAGCACCATTTATTGAGGAGACTGTCTTTTTTCCACTGGATGTTCTTTCCTGCTTTGTCGAAGATTAGTTGACCATAGAGTTGAGGGTCCATTTTTGGGATCTCTATTCTGTTCCATTAATCTATATGTTTGTTTTTGTCCCACTACTATGCTGTGTTATGATCATAACTTTGTTGTGATATAGCTTGAAGTCAGGCATTGTGATGCCCCTAGTTTTGTTTTTATTTTTCAACATTTCCTTGGTGATTCGGGGTCTTTTCTGGTTCCATACAAATTTTAGGATTTTTTTTCCAGCTCTGTGAAAAATGTGGATGGTATTTTGATAAGGATTGCATTGAAAGTGTGGTTGCTCTGGGCAGCAAGACATTTTAACTATATTTGTTCTTCCAATCCCAGAGAATGGAATGTTTTTCCATCTCTTTGTGTCTTCCTCAATTCCTTTCATAAGTATTCTGTAGTTTCTAGATATAGATCCTTTACCTATTTATTTAGATTTATTCCTTGGTATCTTATGGTTTTTGGTGCTATTTGGTGCATTATAAATGGAATCAATTCCTTAATTTCTCTTTTTTCAGTTACATTGTTAGTCTATAAAAATGCCACTGATTTCTGCGCATTGGTTTTGTATCCTGCCACATTGCTGAATTGCTATATGAGTTCTAGTAATTTAGGGGTGGAGTCTTTTGGGTTTTCCACATAAGGTATCATATCATCTGTGAAGAGTGAGAGCTTGACTTCTTCTTTGTCAATTTGGGTGCCTTTTATTTCTTTTTGTTGTCTGATTGCTGTGGCTAGGGCTTTAGTATTAAGTTGAACAACAATGGCAAGACCATACAAAAAGACAAACTCAAAATGGATGAAAGACCTCATTGTGAGACAGGAATCCATCAAAATCCTAGAGGAGAACACAGGGAGTTACCTTTCCAACATTGGCCACAGCAACTTCTTTCAAAACATTCCTCCAAAGGCAAGGGAAGCAAAAGCAAAAATGAACTTTTGGGACTTTATCAAGATAAAAAGCTTCTGCACAGCAAAGGAAACAATCAACAAAACAAAGAGACAAACTCCCACAGAAGGGGAGAAGATATTTGCAAATGACACTACAGATAAAGGGCTGGTATCCATGATTTCTTCTTTAAATGTTTGGCAGAATTCCCCTGGGAAGCCATCTGGCCCTGGACTCTTTTGTTTTGGGAGATTTTTGATTACTGTTTCCATTTCCTTGCTGGTTATCGGTCTGTTCAGATTGTCTATTTCTTCCCGTTTCAGTCTTGGTAGTTTATATGTTTCCAGGAATGCATCCATTTCTTCCAGATTGCCTAGTTTGTTGGCATATAGCTGTTGTTAATAAGTTCTAATAATTGTCTCTATTTCCTTGGTATTTGTCATGATTTCTCCCCTTTCATTCATGATTTTATTAATTTGGGTCCTTTCTCTTTTCTTTTTGATAAGTCTGGCCAGAGGTTTATTGATCTTATTAATTCTTTCAGAGAACTAGCTTCTAGGTTCATTGATTTGTTCTACTGTTCTTTTAGTTTCTATTTCATTGATTTCTGCTCTAATCTTTATTATTTCTCTTCTCCTCCTTAGTTTAGGCTTTACTTGCTGTTCTTTCTCCTGGTCCTTTAGGTGTAAGGTTAGCTTGTGCATTTGGGATTTTCCTAATTTTTTGAGAGAGGCTTGGATGGCTATGTATTTCCCCCTTAGGACCACCTTTGCAGTATCCCATAGGTTTTGGACCGATGTGTTTTCATTCTCATTGGTTTCCATGAATTGTTTACATTCTTCTTTAATTTCCTGGCTGGCCCATTCATTCTTTAGTAGGATGCTCTTTAACCTCCAACAGTTCGAGTTCCTTCCAATTTTTTTCTTGTGCTTGAGTTCCAGTTTCAAAGCATTGTGTTCTGAAAATATGCAGGGAATAATCTCAATCTTTTGGTATCGGTTGAGACCTGATTTGTGACCCAGTATGTGGTTTATTCTGGAGAAAGTTCAATGTGCACTCGAGAAGAATGAGTATTCTGTTGTTTTAGGATGGAATGTTCTGTATATACCTATGAAGTCCATCTGGTCCAATGTGTCATTCAAAGCTCTTGTTTCTTTGTTGATCTTCAGCTTAGATTATCTGTCCATTGCTGTGAATCGAGTGTTGAAGTCCCCTACTATTAATGTATTTTTTCAATATGTTTCTTTTTTTGCTTATTAGTTGTTTTATATAATTGGCTGCTCCCATGTTGGGGGCATAGATAATTACAATTGTTAGATCTTCTTGTTGGATAGACCCTTTAAGTATGATATAGTGTCCCTCTACATCTCTTACTACAGTCTTTGGTTTAAAATCTAATTTGAAGCACTGGGTGTTATACGAAAACAATGAATGGTGGATCACCACATCAAAAACTAATGATGTAATGTATGGTGATTAACATAATAAAAAAGTAAAAGAAACCTAATGATGTATTGTATGGTGACTAACATAACATAATAATAATAATAAAAAATCTAATTTGTCTGTTATGACGATTGTTACGCCAGCTTTCTTTTGAGGTCCGTTGGCATGGTAAATGGTTCTCCATCCCTTCACTTTCGGTCTGGAAGTTTCTTTAGGTTCAAATGAGTCTCTTGTAGACAGAATATGGATGGGTCCTGCTTTTTTAACCAATCTGAAATCCTGTGTCTTTTTATGGGAGCATTCAGCTTATTTACATTGAGAGTAATTATTGAAAGATATGAATTCAGTGCTATTGTATTGCCTGTAAAGTCCTTGTTTCTGTAGATTGTCTGGTTAATTTCTGGTCTATATTACTCTTGGGGTCTCTCTTTGCTTACCAAATCCCCCTTAATATATCTTGCAGGGCTGCCTTGGTGGTCACATATTCTTTCATTTTCTGCCTGTCCTGGAAGTTCTTTATCTCTCCA